CTCGTCTCTCTCTCTCTCTCTCTCTCTCTCTCTCTCTCTCTCTCTCTCTCTCTCTCTCTCTCTCTCTCTCTCTCTCTCTCTCTTTTTCTCTCCCGTCGAATAATCGTGGCGGCAGCTGCGAAACCTTGTCCTATTTCTGTAAGTTGCTTATATATGTATGTATACATAGAGATTTCTATGTATATGCACGTACATAGCGGCGCGCGATTACTCGGCTGACAGTCGCGCGTAATTGTAGCCGGTTACGAATCTCTGTTGGTGACCTTGCGTGGATGTGACTTTTGTAGCTGCGACGCCGCGGCTGGCAGCTGCATCATTTGTTTACAGCTCGTAGTAGCCATAGCAAAATCGTTGTTCTACTGTCGAAAAAAAAGAGACATACTACATTTCCTTAACGGTTCCTCCCTACGGTTTTAATCTACTTCCTCAAACATTCGATTGGATATTATTACGGATAAATGCAATTTAATGTCGAAGATTATTAGCTGAATACTTTACACTTTTTTAAATTTAATTAAATGCATTATATTGTTTTTAATATTTAAAATTTGTAAGATGCATTTGGATAAAGTTGACAGAAATTAGTTTAATACTGTATAAGTTACCTGATTATTTATTTGAATTTAATCATCCTGATGATTCATAATAAAGATAATATTACAATAACATAAAGTAATGATCTAATTATCTGTGTGATAAATCAAGTTTTGATACTTGAGACTGACAAATTCTGAGTAATGATGGATGACTCATTCCTAATGCAAAGTATTTTTGTTATTCATTGACAGAAGATAGCTGTGTGTGTTATGAGTGTTGGTTTATCCATGTACGATGGCTTGGAGAGTGAGACTCCTCCTGATGGCCTGGAGAGCGCTGGGGGTACTACAAAAAAACTGGCAAGAGGCATCTCCCGTGCAACTGAAAATGCAGCAATTGTTTCCTATGCTCGCTCACAATTGGCAGCCTTAGGAAACATAGATACACCGGAATTTACATTTTCATTGCCAGATCTGTCTGTATATCCAGGTATACTGCGCTGTTCAAATGCTATATGTATCCCATTCTAAGTGCTTCACAGTGTACTAACATTTTGACTGATGTCTTTGTATTTAGACTCGTTCCGTAAATTCTTGGAGAAAGATCTTATAGAGAACGGATGCCTGAGTTCCTTAGAGGCTGCAGGTCGTTTAAACTGGTGGTACAAAAGTGGAAGCACCAGAATCCTTTGGCCACTAGCAACAACTGGAGATGGCAATTGTCTGCTTCATGCGGCATCATTAGGGATGTGGGGCTTTCATGATAGATTACTTACTCTGAGAGAGGCATTGCACAATACTCTGAAAGGAGAATACAGACATGCACTTTTTAGGTAATAATTTTTTCAGGTCTTAAAGATAAATAATTCTATCCAGAATTCTATTCATAATTTTGTAGACGGTGGAAATGGAGACAAACGGGTCTCAACGCGGCAGCCGGATTATCATATACGGAAGCGGAATGGCTATCGGAATGGCAAAGTATAGTGGATATGGCCTCTCCCGCAATCAGAAACCCGACTGCTACCTCTTATCAGAGCCTTGAAGAGGTAACGCCTGCAATATCCTTTCTCGTTGGAGGAATATAATCAATTCTTATTTTACCATAGTCTGCATTCGTTACAGATACACGTTTTAACATTGGCCCATGTCTTAAAAAGGCCTATAATAGTTATAGCGGAAACTATGCTAAAGGATGCAGACGGAGTAGCTTTAGCGCCGATCCCATTCGGTGGAGTGTATTTACCTTTGGAAGTGTCGCCTTCTCGTTGTCATCGAACTCCCTTACTCTTGGCATATCATTCTGCCCACTTTTCCCCGCTTGTAACTGTAGACGGATGCAACGATTATGGCAGCGCTTGCGGCGAAGGAGTTAGTATACCATTAGTGGATCCAGATACAGGCAAACTGTTGCCAGTCTTATTTGCCGTGGATCCTGGTCCTGACTGGGATTGGATTGACGGTTCACGAGAGTTGTTAACTTGTACACAGGAGACCGTAAGTATATCTTATTGCATTTATTATGAATTCTTAATAAAGACATTAAATTGTTAATAAGATAATGAAGATATTTCTTATCATTTATCGTTTGCAGATGGAAATTTTATTGCGACAATATTTAGATTGCGAGTATCAAAGTTTTACGTCCGAAGATATTGATAGGCTTTCCGATACGGATGGTTCTCTGTCAAAGACCGCGAAACAATTGTTAGAAGTCGCGAAACAATTTGGTTCTATTGGCAAATCTGTCAGTAAAAAACTGTTATGGTCTATGACAAATAAAAGGCCAAAGAGTCCGCCTTCCTCGAGTGGAATTTCTACGGAGGGTTTGTTGTGTGTGAGAATAAAGAGTAGACGTCATGAGTATGTGGATCAAATGCTTCAAAATTATCTCCAGTGTGCCCATGCAAGGTATTTTAACTTTGGTTATTTGATGAATGATCGGAGAGAAATTATATAAATTTGTTGTATGTGCAGATATCTACAAGATCATCAGATAGACGGTACGGGTAGTGAATTGAATTACGGTGCTGGAAAGTCTAAATTTTATGCTGCCAGTGATCGTGGTAGTCATGCGAGCGTTAGTAAACTATTACCTACTAACACGAACAAAGATCATACGCTTTATCTTTCAAGGTATAGTGGCAAAATATAAATTATCTTTGTTAATTGCAAAAAATAAATTAATGTTCTTTCCAGATCTACATTTTTTAACGATCAGACTCCATCGAATAATACGGGGCCAGAGATTTGGAACAATAGTGACAATTTAAAGGTATATTCAATAACTTTCAGAGGCAAAATAAATTCTATGAAATAAAATTTGCCGTTTCCACAGGACACCGTGAAGGAGTGCCGCAGTGAACACTGCCAATTCTTTGGATCACCAGAAAACCAATATTATTGCTCGCAGTGCTGGGCTAATCGTTAAACGGCCGTCCATAATCACACATGACAATAATCTCGATTTAATATATCGTTCGGAGTAAGCTATTAAATAATTTTTAGACGTAACGCTAGCCTTAAGATAAAGCTTATGAATGTCCCACCAACATATCGTCGACAACATCGCAATGTCGTTTTCAGTTTTGTTTCTTTTTACATTTTCTTGTATTTATTAACGTTTTCTATCGTCGAAAATTGCATATCAGATGCACAGGGTTCGATTAAATCATTTATTACGAAAAACATTTATAGCACGTACTTTATCGTTCCAAAATGAAAATTTGTGATTTGGCACTCAGGGAAAAAAATAGTTTTTTTTTTTACGATTTCGATATTGTGCCTTCTGTATGCAAACAAAAAATGACGATGATACATATCTTATATATTCTTATATCATCGCGGTAAAAATATTTACTCGCAACTACCTCTACAGTTCTTGATTGCAATGATCAATATAATGACTATATCATTTTATAATTTTTTTTTGTATTCATAAAAGATAATATGGAAATATTATGTTCATAATCTCATTGTCCTGTGCAATTGCTGTGTATGTAAAACTATGTAAAGAATAAAACATATTTTTATATGTATATATAAATGTCGCGTCATTATTACCGATGTATGGAAACGTCAATTAATTAAGAAGATAAAAAAGGCCAGTATTTTGCCATAATAAAATGTATTTACACATATTTCCTCACATTAGCCTATCATCATGTGAAAAAGGTCGTAATTAATAATAAATGATTATTAATATTACCTGACACATTACCCATATTCGCTAAATTATCGATGAAGTATGTGTGTGGTAATATTACGCTAATTTTATTAATAAATTGTACGAAGAAAAAAAATTCTCTTATATACAAAAAGAGGAGGAAAGAATTATGCGATATATAAATTATTAATGTTTCTTTCAGTTCACTTTGCATGTCTTCTATTATTAAATAGCTAAGAAAAACATGAAATGAGAAAAAAGTTTTACAATACGTCGAAGGAACTAGAGAATATTCACTTCAGCTACAGTAATACTACAAAGCGCAGAATATATATTTCGCTATTGTAGAATTTAAAAATGCTCCTCCTGCACCTTTATTTTATCGTTTAAACACTTTCAACATTCGATATTGGTCTTTCAATGAAGTGGCTAATAAAGAAATAAGTAAAAGAGTACCATCTATATATTTCGTGTCTTTAAAATTGAGTTTCACGTACTATTTACAATTTCAGTCATACGAGCATGGATATACTACCAGAGTCGATTAGTTCTGTATGCGATATACTTTTCACTTAAGTAGTAAGCTTACATTTAACCAATTTTATCTCTGGAAAGCTTCATTTCCCCGTGTGAAGGATGATTAATACGTGAAGAGATCTTTAAAAAAATTATAAATTAAAGTAACTTTATGGCTGTATCATGCGCCTATAAGGCTCATTACACAAGATATTCCTCTCTTTTTCGTGATATTTAATATCATTTAATCAAAATTACGATCCAGTCAAATTTAAAGTTTCTCGTTTCTAAAGGCCATAATTGTGTTTTTTAAATCCGCGAAGAAATAAAACCATGATTGTTATTAATTTCATTTTGTAATTCAATAAAATAATGCGACGAAAATAACGGTATGATTACATCGATATATGGATGCACATACATATATAAATATAATTAATGATATCAATAACATGAATTCTAGTGTGTGAAAGAGATGTGAAATTTACTGACAATTTTTAACAGGTCTTCTCGGCAGCTTATTTTCTCTTACACTAGATCGAATTCCTCTGACAGTTCTTTCTGTCTTTATCATTTTATCATAACATAAATAATTATCCAAAAACAACGCAAATTTTATATATAGATATATTATATTTAGGATCAATTGATGTACCCGTTTACAACTTTGAACAAGGCGTGAATTATGCCCAATGTAAAATTGATCATGTACGTACAGTGCTTACATATGATCATTTTTATCGAACGTTTGTCATTGCAAGGTAAATCAATTGATCCGTTCCTATTTAAATGATTAAAGTGCCAGCCACAACACAACAAGCAAAGTGCTCCTATCCATAGTACTTATATCCATATCATAGCATATTGCTTAAGTTAAAGAGCTTGTAAACACGGAATTCTCTATATGATTATTAACATTCTAATCTTTTTCTTTAACCCTCGCTAACCAAAATTGGACCATTTTTTACCTATAGTTCCGTTAATTTTTTTAGAATATTTAGAATATTTTACATTTATGTAAAATTATATATGTATGTCTAATATGTTACACATACATTACATAAATGTGATAATTAAATTTTTTGAACGCGCACCATAATAACACAAATAAAAATTCATTACAAGATGATCCAATTTTCGCTGTTTAACAAATATTTCGATAATGCGAGAGTTAAAGAATGTTGTGTCTTTCGTAAACCATCGTCAAGCAGAGACAGTTTTATCTCACGATAAAATCTTGAAATTAAAGAGAAAGCATATGAGTTCGTATTTCATTTTCTTTTTTCAAGAAATAGAAAATCATAATTGTAATAAGTAAAAAAATATAAATTTATTTAACAGATATAACTGACGATGGCATAAAAGAGATATACTTAAATTTTTCTCGGATTTTTCTCGGATTTTCCTCGGATATTTTATTTTCTTTCTTTAAAAAAATGCTTACTTGAACATTTGTAGCGCATCCGGAAAAAAAAAATAGAGAGATCGTCCGGTTTAGAAGCTCGTTAATTTATTAATCTATACAGAACTGATATATAATAATTAGCGATTCGCGGGTTTTTATTGTATTATGAAATGGATCACGATTCTCCATTGCCACTATCATCGCCGTCTTCGTAATCAGTCGCGCTCAACTGCTCATCTTCGTCATCATCCAGCTCGTATTCGTCATCGTAGAAATCCGTCATGTCTAGTTGTTGCTCGGCCGGCCTCGCTCGAGTCTTTATGCAATAATCCTCCAGAGTTACAGGCACGACAATACCTTCCTTTTCGGCTTCCATCTTGGCAGCTTGTGCTTGTTTCCTAGATAGAAAATGTATACGAAATATATATTGATAAAATACCTATCTCACGGACCTACTTAGCTAATATTTATTTATTGAAAAAAATTTAAACCTACTAAAAAAAATATCTATATAAATCATCTTTGAAAATTCCGCGGTTTTCTAGACATTCTTGTGGTCGATAACAGGTTACTCATAAAATAAGAGCAAGATCCTCGAAGGAATAATTTCAACAAAAAGTCCCAATAAATTTTTTTGAAAATTTCATGATTTCAAAGAATATGTATATAAATTACTTTGTTATAGTTTATAGAGAATGGAGTATTTAAAAATAGCTCAATGTTAAAGTAAGCGCCAATCAATAAAAGATCGTGGCTCGAATCGCTCGATTTGTTTCGACCTCATATACGATACTAAGAAATGGTTTTGAATGGAAAAATATCCATATGAATTTTATTCTAAGGTAACGGAGAATAAATCTTAATACTGGGAGAACAGAAATCTCCAAACAAATAATAATGATAAATAAGTTAAAAAAAGATAAAGCCCGAAT